TTTTCAAGAAAATTTCGGAAATATTTTGGAAGTTTTCTTTAAAATAAAAAAAAAATAAAATTTCGAAAAAAGAAGAAAATTTTCTATAAAAAAATAGAAAAATTTTAAAAGTTCCAAAATTTTTTAATGAAAATATTTAAGATTTTGATCTTTTTATACAAAATTTTGGAAAACTTATTTTTTTCGATAATGTTTTATGAAATTAATGCCACAAGTAGTTTTTTATTTAAATAAATTTGTTTTATTTTTATTATATTTACGCATTTTCTTTTTTTGTTTTTTTTTTTTTTATTAAATTATTATTTCAAATACAACACTTTTTTTGAAACGTATTATTTTGTTTTCGAATATTTTATAATTTATATTAATTCTGTTTTTTTTTTTTTTTTTGTTTTTCTTTAAGTAAATAATATTATTTTAATAATATGCTAAACATTTTTTGTTTTTAATTTTTTCAATATTTAATAATATATTTATATGGATTTTTAATATAATTTGTAGCTTTTTTATTTTGTTTTTCTTTTTTTTAACTAAAATATTAAAAAAGTTTGTTTTTTAGTTTTAAAAATTTTAAAATATTAGCTAATTAATTAAATAATAAAAATTAAATATAAAAAATATATTACAAAATTAAAAATAAGTGATAAAAATTTATTGTTCTAAACAAGCAACTTAAAATTATTTAATAATAATTATAAAATAATAAATTATAATAAAATTAAATATAAAATATTTTGTGTATAAAAAAAAATCTTAAATTTTTTTTTATAAATCATATACACAGTTCCTGTGTGTTAATTCATTTAAAGACTATTTCATTTTATATTAAAGGTTTCTTGCAAAATTATTAAATTGTCTTTTATTGCCGTTTAAGGAGAACTGTGTATTTGTATTTAATTAGCATATGATATGCAAAGTCTATATTTAATATAGAAATTATGTTTTTTTTTCACTTAATGGAGTTTTTAAAGCAATAGTTTTCTATAGAAAAAAATGAAAAAAAATAAAATTAATTTAATTAAAATAAACTATAAGTCCTTTTTTGTTTTATAAATTATAAATAAAAATTAAATTTAAACAAAGCTTTTTTTATATATTTAAATTTTGTTTTTTCAAATTTTACAGACACCTTTTTTTATTTTATACATATTTTTTTTATTTGTTTTCAAATTTTGGGCAGTTTTTTGTTTTTTTTTTTAGTTTTTAATTAATTATATTTTTTATTGCATTTTCTTTTATTTTTATTTATCTTTTGTAATTATATTGAGGATTCGGGCAAATATATTGAAATCAAAATATGTTTTTTTATTTCCTTTTTTTGTGTATTTTATTTGTATGAGAACCATGACTATTTTTTATAGATTTTTTTCTGATATTTTATAATTTATTAGGTTTTATATTTTTCTTATATTTGTTTAAGGTTTAAGATAATTTTCTTTTCATTTAGAGTGGTGGGTTTTTTTATTTGAGATAATTGTTTTATTTTTATTAAAGAGAAGCTGACAAATAAAAGTAATTGTGATTAAATAAAATTTAGATCAACTTGATATTAAAATTATAATATTAATTTTCAAACTAAGTTTAACTGAACGTTATTAGACAGTTAAAAATCAAAATATTAATTTGGGCACCCATAGAAAGAAATTTTAACAAAACATTATAATCAAAAAACGTGAAAGAATTAATTTTAGAAACATTAGTAACAACAATTTTGATTTAAAAGTATCACTGCCTGGACAGTGTTGTAGTTCTCAAGACTTTTGATGAAAATTTTTTTACATTACAAATATCACCGATATTTTATTAGAAGTAATCATTTACAATTTACATTACAATTATTTGATGGTATCGAAATGGCAAAATGTTAACTAAACTAGAACTGAACTAGAGAACTAGAACTGAACTGGAACAACTAAAACTAGAACGACTAGAACTGAACTAGAACTGACTAGAACTGAACTAGAACTGAACTAGATGAACTGAACTGAACTAGAACTGAACTAGAACTGAACTAGAACTGAACTAGAACTGAACTAGAACTAGAACTGAACTAGAACTGAACTAGAACTGAACTAGAACTGAACTAGAACTGAAAAGAACTGAACTGAACTGAACTAGAACTGAACTAGAACTGAACTAGAACTGAACTAGAACTGAACTAGAACTGAACTAGAACTGAACTAGAACTGAACTAGAACTGAACTAGAACTGAACTAGAACTGAACTAGAACTGAACTAGAACTGAACTAGAACTGAACTAGAACTGAACTAGAACTGAAACTAGAACTAAACTAGAACTGAACTAGAACTGAACTAGAACTGAACTAGAACTGAACTAGAACTGAACTAGAACTGAACTAGAACTGAACTAGAACTGAACTAGAACTGAACTAGAACTGAACTAGAACTGAACTAGAACTGAACTAGAACTGAACTAGAACTGAACTAGAACTGAACTAGAACTGAACTAGAACTGAACTAGAACTGAACTAGAACTGAACTAGAACTGAACTAGAACTGAACTAGAACTGAACTAGAACTGAACTAGAACTGAACTAGAACTGAACTAGAACTGAACTAGAACTGAACTAGAACTGAACTAGAACTGAACTAGAACTGAACTAAACTGAACTAGAACTGAACTAGAACTGAACTAGAACTGAACTAGAACTGAACTAGAACTGAACTAGAACTGAACTAGAACTGAACTAGAACTGAACTAGAACTGAACTAGAACTGAACTAGAACTGGACTAGAACTGGACTAGAACTGAACTAGAACTGAACTAGAACTGGACTAGAACTGAACTAGAACTGAACTAGAACTGAACTAGAACTGAACTAGAACTGAACTAGAACTGAACTAGAACTGAACTAGAACTGAACTAGAACTGAACTAGAACTGAACTAGAACTGAACTAGAACTGAACTAGAACTGAACTAGAACTGAACTAGAACTGAACTAGAACTGAACTAGAACTGAACTAGAACTGAACTAGAACTGAACTAGAACTGAACTAGAACTGAACTAGAACTGAACTAGAACTGAACTAGAACTGAACTAGAACTGAACTAGAACTAACTGAACTAGAACTGAACTAGAACTGAACTAGAACTGAACTAAACTGAACCCAGAACTAGAATCACTATCGTGATATTCTCGTGAACTGTTCATTCAGAATGGTTGCTTTGTTCGTTACACCTGTTTATTGTCTACAAGTTAAAAGAAATTCAGGGGAAAAGGAAGGAAAGGGGAAATTATTCCAATTTTTAAATCAAAATTTTAGTTTTATAAAATAAATAATAGCAATGTTGATCCATTATAAATTCTATAGGTTTCTTCTGTGATACAGGATATTTTATGAATTTTATTAATATTATATTTAGATGTACAAATGAATAATTATATTGCATGTTTGATAAAGTTATAGACAAACTATAATGTTGTTTGAGTAATGGCAAACGTACGTGGATAAGTTGTGCATATTTTTGTATTAGGATGAACTTCATTTGTAAGTTATCATAAAATTTGTCAAAGTTTTAAGAAAATAATCAAAATTAGTCAGTTTTTAAATTTTTTAAACAAATTTTAAAGTTAAATTATCTTGATATATAAAGAAGTTATAAAAGAGCTTTATTTTCAAGCCGAGAGATTAGACATTTAGATGGCATGACAATTTTTTATATAAAGCTGTCTTCGCGCTATTATAAAGTCTTAAATATGGACAAAATGTGAATTTTTTTAAACTTTAGGACACAATATCTGGAAAATGTAAAGTGATGTAGTAATTCTGAGGCCAGCCTGAGATAAAGAGCAGTTTAATATTTTCGTCGGAGGATTACTCCGCCACTTTTAATAGGCTGAATAAAATGTTAATATTTTCTGGTTATATGCTGCCAAAGAAACACTAAATACAAGCTAAGGTTTAACTTTTGGTTTAGAAACTTTAACAACTTTTTTGAGAACAATTTAATGAAGTTTTTTCTATATTTTATGAAAAAGTTTGATGTTTTAAATAAAAAATTTTATATTTTTTTTGCATGGTTTTTTACAATTGTTTATATATTTTTACAATGTAGTTGTTTTGTTTTTTAAAGGCTTTTTTTATAATTATTAATTTTGTTTGTAATTGTATTTATAGGTTTTTGATGATTTCTTTATTTTTTTGTGTATTTTTATATTAATATTTATAAATTATAACATTATTTATTAATTAATTTTAAATTTGTTTAACATGTTCCTTTTTTTATTTGATTTTTTTGTAATTTTTTTGTTGTACAGTTAAAAAAATGTATTTTAAACGCATTAAAAGTAAAAAAGAATTAAAAAGAATTTATTATAGAAAAAGAGGTAAAGAGAGAGAGAGAGAGAGAGAGGAAGAGTGTAAGATAGAATGATTGTGTTAAGAGTTACAACAAAATTTGTAATGTTGTGGGAAAGTGGGCAGGGAGTTACAATTTTTTTTTTTTAATTTTTTAAATATAATTAAAAAATATTTACTAAAAAACGCCTTTTTTGTTGATGTAAGTTTTATTAATATATATATTTTTTCTTGTTATAAATTACCTAAAATCTAAGGAAAAAAATTATTAATAATATAATTATAATTATGTATTTAAATAACATTACAAAACATTTGTTTTTTATTTCATTTTTTTTTTTTTCAATTTATTTAATATAATTTTTGTTCTAAATGTTAAACAACAGAACGAACTTATGAAGGAAAAATATGAGCATGAAAATGAAAATTCTAATATGGGGAAGTTTAAAGTTGAAAACACAATGAAAAATTAAGATTTTTTTTTTTTGTAATTTACAGATTTCGCAGAAATTTCTTTCTTAATCTTATAGAGTAAATTGAGCGCGTGTACTTTATTTTAGCTTGTTAATTATAGTTTGAAGTTTAGATAATAGTTATTAATTTTTTTTTTAATAATAAAAGGGGTGTTTTGGTGGTGGTTTAGTTTTTAAGGTTTTGTTTCTTTAATTTTTTTAAGATATATTTTTTTTTTTTTGGTTTTTTGTGCTGGTTTTAGTTTTTTGTTCACTTTTTTGTAGGTTGGTTTTGTTGTTTTAATTAAAAGGGCATGCTAAAATAAAGGCCCTCATCGGGGGCCACACGCAAACTCTATAAGAAACGTGGTGGTCCTGTATTGTACGTCCCAGGTGGTGGATGTTGTTGTGCTGCAGGTGCCGGTGAATGTTGTCCCTGACGCAGTACATCAAAGGGTGAATTTGAACGTTGCATAAAATGATGATAATTATTAGGAGGTAATTGATGCTGTAATGAATAATAGATCAGATTTTTCCCATTTCGAACATACACATTTTCCTAATTAATTTCGAAAATTCCTAGTTTTGTTGGAACAATTTTTGATCAAAACCAAAACAACTTTTTACTATAAAATGTTAATCAAAACCAGAACAACTTTTTACTATAAAATTTTGATCAAAATCTAAACATTTTTTTCTAGAAAAGTTGATCAGAATCAGAACAACTTTTTACTAGAAAAGTTGATCAGATTCTGAACAACTTTTTTCTAAAGAAGTTGATTAGAATCTGAACAACTTTTTTCTATAAAAGTTGATCAGAATCTAAATAACTTTTTTCTAGAAAACTTTTTTCTAAAGAAGTTGATTAGAATCTGAACAACTTTTTAATGAAAAAGTTGATTAGAATCTGAACAACTTTTTACTAGAAAAGTTGATTCGAATCTGAACAACTTTTTACTAGAAAAGTTGATCAGAATCTAAGCAACTTTTTACTAGAAAAGTTGATCAGAATCTAAACAACTTTTTACTAGAAAAGTTGATCAGAATCTGAACAACTTTTTACTAGAAAAGTTGATTCGAATCTGAACAACTTTTTACTAGAAAAGTTGATCAGAATCTAAACAACTTTATACTAGAAAAGTTGATCAGATTCTGAACAAATTTTTACTAGAAAAGTTGATCAGAATCTGAACAACTTTTTACTAGAAAAGTTGATCAGAATCTGAACAAGTTTTTACTAGAAAAGTTGATCAGAATCTGAACAACTTTTTACTAGAAAAGTTGATCAGAATCTGAACAACTTTTTACTACAAAATTTTATAAAAATCTGAACAACTTTTTACTATAAAATTTTATCAAAATCTGAATAACTTTTTACTAGAAAAGTTGATTAGAATCTGAACAACTTCTTACTAGAAAAGTTGATCAGAATCAGAACAACTTTTTACTAGAGAAGTTGATCAGAATCTGAATAACTTTTTACTAGAAAAGTTGATTAGAATCTAAACAACTTCTTACTAGAAAAGTTGATCAGAATCAGAACAACTTTTTAATGAAAAAGTTGATTAGAATCTGAAGAACTTTTTACTAGAGAAGTTGATTAGAATCTGAACAACTTTTTACTAAAAAAGTTGATCAGAATCTGAACAACTTTTTACTATTAAAGTTGATTCGAATCTGAACAACTTTTTACTAGAAAAGTTGATCATAATCTAAACAATTTTATACTAGAAAAGTTGATCAGAATCTGAACAATTTTAGTAGAAAACTTGATCAGAATCTGAACAACTTTTTACTAGAAAAGTTGAACAGAATCTGAACAACTTTTTACTAGAAAAGTTCATCAAAATCTGAACAACTTTTTACTAGAAAAGTTGAAAAGAATCTGAAAAACTTTTTACTAGAAAAGTTGATCAGAATCTGAACAACTTTTTATTAGAAAAGATCTGAACAACTTTTGAATAAAAGAGTTTCTTAACAATTTCTTACTAAAAATGTGTTAAATTTCTAAAATATGTACGACTCTTACCTGTAATCCCCGCAAACCTCCCATTGGTCCCGCTGCGGCTCCTCCCCCACCTCCTCCGCCAGCACCCATCATATGACTCGAACCATCACCCAAATCCAATTGCAAAGACTCAGGCATATCATTCGTACTACTAGCAGAACTACTAGCATTCGCTAAATGTAGCTGTCCCAACGAAGCCGTGGCCATAGCAACATCAGGCATCATATCTGATAAATGACCAGCATTAGGGCCATCCGAACAACCCATAGCACCACCCTCAGCACCGCCCATATCCAGCCCTAAAGCACTGCCATGAGCAAAACCCCGATAATCACCTTCGGTTATAAGGGCGGGCAAATCATTGCGATGATGTGCTGACGCCGAAAGTCTAGCAAAATTATGAGGCAGTCCCGAGCCCATGCCCACGCCAGAACCAAAACCTAAACCCAACAAACCGGCGGCATGTTGACGGGGGAATGTTAAATTTCTGGTATAACAGGCAGGCAGACCATCGGCCGCCGATGTTGAAGCAGCACCACATGATGTTGAGCCCGCATTCGAGCCCACCGAAGACGATAGATAACTAGCACCCATGGCCGAGTGTCTAGGCACTGAACCGGCCGAGGCTGCTGCCGGTGAGGGTGGTGGCGATTGATCATCATCCTCTAGCAGACAACAGTCGTCGACGGACTGCACCGTGGTCGTGGAGTCGGCCATATTTTGTACTTCATCTTGAACATTGCGGGTATTGCTAAGTAGTGATGTCTCTAGTAGATCCGACACAGCATCGGGTAGATTAAACTCTCTTACCACACGCAGACGTATTTGTCTATCGATTTCATGTTTGGACGAAAGAGGCAGATGTAAAGCCCTCTGGCACATGGGTGATTGCCGCAGTTTGTGTTCGCGCTTCAGCATAGCAGCCAAGGTTTGTGTATCGGGTGGGGGTATAGCAGCGGCAGCAGCTAAGATATCTACAGTATCGGTACCAGAGCCCACACCCGTATTACCTACACCACTATTCGAGGCGGCATTCATTCTAGAAACCATATACAAAGTATCGGGTATGTCGGGCATTTGTCGAGAACGACGCATTCTCATTAGCTCAGCTTGATGATGTGATGAAGTCATGCGATCTTCTAACAATGCCTTAACCTCTTCAAAGTATGGCATAAATAGGCGAGGCCTCACAAATAGACCTTGATTTTTTCCTCCCCTAATCCAAGCATTGATACGTAAATTCTCACGTTCATCGCCAATCATATGCGAGGGCGGTGTACTCACTAGGCCACGGCGTATTGCCTGGGCCAAAACTTCACTATTAGGCGGTAAGACATGATCCATTCTCACTAATGGCAAAAGGTCTGAGAGTATTTCTCTTAGTTCCACATCACTTAGATCGCGTTTCTTGACACCTTTTCTTGTTACCGAATGGGCAGTGTGCGATAAAAGATTCGGTTCTCGATCTTCCATGCGCCGTATGAGCTCCTGTTCTCCCCATTTGAGTACAGCCTGTAGAACTTCCAATTCGGAAGCTTGTAAAAAATTCGATTGCAAAACGTGTATAAGTTGCGATTTATCGAGTTGATGCAAAACAGGTGATGAGATGACTGCAGAGAATTCTTCGCGTAAATATTGGCAAGCTTGGCGGAAAACCCACGCAGAACCGTGGGGCTAAAGATAAAGTTGAATTCAAATTAATCTAAATATAATATTTTGCCTGTTAAAAAGCTTTTTACTAAAATAAAATGTTTTTAATCAAAAGACTGTTTAATGAGCTTTTTTCAGTTGAAAAGTTTTTAAAAAAAGCTTTTTCAAAAAACTTTGAACAAAAAGCTTTTTGAATACAACTTAAAAACAAATTTTTAATAAAAAGCTTTTTAAATAAAAGCTTTTAATAAGAAAGCATTTTCAATAAAAAGCTTTTTTAATAGAAAGCTTTTAATAAAAAAAGCATTTTTAATAGAAATCTTTCTAATAATAACTTTTTTAATAAAAAGATTTTTAATAATAGCTTTTTCAATAAAAAGCTTTTTAACAATATCTTTTTCAATAAAAAGCTTTTTGCATAAAAGCATTTTCAATAAAAAGCTTTTTGCTTAAAAGCATTTTCAATAAAAAGCTTTATAAATTTTCTTTCTACAAACATTTAATAATAAAAAAAATATAAATTTACCTGACTCCCCCACTTGAGCACCGTTGGCAGAGTGTCTAAGGTCAGCCACTCCAATATGAGATCCTCGCAACCTTGTGCTAAAATATCCAATTCTAAAAATCTACCAATTTGATATAGTTCCATGGCTTCCTCGAGCGGTGTTGGTCGTGTTCGACCCGCCGTCAAGGCATGAACTTCACCCAGCGAACCAGCCGCTGCTGTTCCCGAATTTGCTCCCCTTAAAATTAATGTTAAGTCTACGGTATCCAAGTAAATGGCATGTAAAAGAACACGAGCATAACGTTTTGGTATCACGGTTTCATCCAACACAATACGCGTCGGCACATGCAGAGCACGCTCTGCATATTCAGCATCCATATTACGTGTTCGTCTAGCTATGAGATTACGAAAGAAAGGCGATCGCGCGCTTAAAATCGCTTTGTGGCAAGGTAATTCCAGTTTCGGTCGGAAGCCGTATTCTGAATTCCCCGAATCGGGACGATTGTATTCGCCACCCAAACCCACTACGCCCATGGC